CATTCTCTATAGGGTCACCAACCTTCATCTTGTATAAGGACTATCATCCTCTATAGGGTCACCAGCTTCCATCTTGTATAAGGACTATCATCCTCTATAGGGTCACCAACCTTCATCTTGTATAAGGACTATCATCCTCTATAGGATCACCAGCTTCCATCTTGTATAAGGACTATCATCCTCTATAGGGTCACCAACCTTCATCTTGTATAAGGGACTATCATCCTCTATAGGGTCACCAGCTTCCATCTTGTATAAGGACTATCATCCTCTATAGGGTCACCAACCTTCATCTTGTATAAGGACTATCATCCGCTATAGGATCACCAGCTTCCATCTTGTATAATGACTATCGTCCTCTATAGGTTCACCAGCTTCCGTCTTGTATAAGGACTATCATCCTCTATAGGGTCACCAACCTTCATCTTGTATAAGGACTATCATCCTCTATAGGGTCACCAACCTTCATCTTGTATAAGGACTATCATCCTCTATAGGGTCACCAACCTTCATCTTGTATAAGACTATCATCTTCTATAGGGTCACCAACCTTCATCTTATAGAGGCCAGCACCATGCCTTGACGTTTCATGATGATGGTGGGTTAAGGTGTCTTTGCTACCTGTGTGGATATAAACATTGGGGTTTCTTCCTGACAATCACAGAGTCTGAAGACATGGTTGGAAGAAGCTCCGAAGCGTCTTGAACCTTACGGGATAAGTCTCTTTCAATGTGACCAACTACTAATAGGTAATCCCTTGAAATGCCCCCTTTTTTTTCCTTTCCACTCCAGCCAGGTGAAATCATCTTCTATATCTGTATTGGAGAGAGGAAGCATCCATCAATGTGACTTATTTTTTTTCTTCTCTCCAATATTTTCGTTGTTATTTTTTAGCAATTTCCTCTTTCCTTTCCTGTTTTCATTAACAGCTAGAAAAAAACGAACAGTGAAAATGTGAAGGCGTAAAAAGTGGAGAGGAAGTGTCTGGATTTCACTTGGTGTCTTCTCTGACACCTCTAAGACTGCAGAGCTTCTCCCATGTTGTTGATGCAGCCTGACTCCTATCAGCCAATGTACACAAAACAATAAAGGAAACCCAAACAGAGGAATGACTGACACAATGCTGCCCCCTCACCGCCTCTCCTCACCCGGATTTACTGGTTAAACATTTGTATGGTTGGCCTCAAGATTTATTTAAAGAGGACCAGTCACCATTGGGCTCCTGGTGATTACCCATATTTTATGTCATAGGGAATGTTGTAGGACAAGCGAGAGTTCCCCAAGGTGGGCAAGAGCACCCCAAAATGCTTTGGTGGGTAGGAAGAGAGCTGGGGACTACAGGGGGGAGATTGCAGATTGTGTGAGTCCCAAAAACATTGGCCTCCTGTGCTTTGCTCATCCTTCACCCTTCTGTCCAGAGTGCTGGAAACTCTTTATATTAGAATGCTACCTTTTTAACGTTCGGCGCCCATCTACTTTAGGCATCTGGTGCGTTATTGCACGTGCATTTTTACGCATTGTGTCATGTTAACATGTGTTGCATTTAGGCCTTGTTTAGACTGTTGGTATTAAAATTGCGCCGTTGAGCCACTTTTTTTTAGCACCCCCTGCCCAACCTCCAAAGATGTGGCTCAAGCAGGTGGTGAGGAGCTGTCACCTCACCTCCCTAATGCCTCCAAAGATGTGGCTAAAACAGGTGGTGAGGAGCTGTCACATCACCTCCCTATTGCCTGTCCATCGCCTCTGAAAATCGATCTGAATGCAGATCACTTTTCAAGGAGCAACAGGTTTAGACACATCTCAAACTTAGCCTAATCCTCAACTGCAAAAATACAAAAGACAGGACACACCAGCCTAGCGCATTACCTCAGCGGTACATTGTTCCTATGATAAAACAAATGTATGCTCACAAAGGACATGGGATGAATGGCACATCGATCAAACAATGAATGAGAACGACCTCGTCCACTGGAAAAGCCCCTCGAAATGATCCAGCCTTTTGGGCCGCCTGTTCTTAAAGGAATTTTTCAGGGGACGAGGTCATTCTCATTCAGTGTGATCCATGTGAAATTTATTCCATATTTTTGTGAGTATTTTTTATTCAGTTATTTCAGGTACTTATATATCGCCATCAGTTTACACAGCGCTTTACATATATATTGTACATTCACATCAGTTCCTAACCCTCAAGGAGTGTACAATCTAAGGTCCCTAACCCTCAAGGGGCGTACAATCTAAGGTCCCTAACCCTCAAGGAGTGTACAATCTAAGATCCCTAACCCTCAAGGGGTGTACAATCTAAGGTCCCTAACCCTCAAGGGGCGTACAATCTAAGGTCCCTAACCCTCAAGGGGCGTACAATCTAAGGTCCCTAACCCTCAAGGGGCATACAATCTAAGGTCCCTAACCCTCAAGGGGCGTACAATCTAAGGTCCCTAACTTACATTCATACATATACATACTAGGGACAATTTAGACAGGAGCCAATTAACCTACCAGCATGTCTTTGGGGTGTGGGAGGAAACCCACGCAGGCACAGGGAGAACCTGCAAACTCCAGGCAGGTGGTGCCATGGTTGGGATTTGAACCAATGACCCGAGTACTGCCAGGTGGAAGCGCTAACCATTTAGCCACCATGTAGCGTCAATGCATGTACAGTTGTTTGCATCCCCTTGGAGAATTGGTCATATACAGTGAACAGGCAAAGCACATTTCTTTTATTTCTTATGCAATTCATATTCTGTATCTGTAGGTGATAACTGAATGGCCCAATCATAATACAAAACATGGCAACAAGTAAACCAATGAAATGCCCCCTGTTCAAAAGTCTGCATCCCCTTAGTCCTTAATACCGTGTTTGACCCCCTTTAGCATCAATGACAGCGTACCATCTTCTGTACTAGTTGTCTGAGGCCCCCGAATTCTTGCAGGTGGTAGAGCTGCCCATTCATCTCGGCAAAATGCCTCCAGGTCATGCAAAGTCTTTGGTCGTGTTGCATGAACCGTGCATTTGAGATCTCCCCAGAGCGGCTCAATGATATTAAGGTCAGGAGACTGTGATGGCCACTCCAGAACCTTCACCTCTTTTCTGCTGGAACCACTGGAGGGTCAACTTGGCCTTGTGCTGAGGGTCATTGTTGTGCTGGAAAGTCCAAGACTGTTTCATGAGCAACTTTCATGCAGAAAGAATGCAAATTGTCTGCAAGTATTTTCTGATAACATGCTGCATTCATTTTACCACCAATTTTTCACAAGATTCCCCTTTAGAGCTCACACCCCCTCAAAACATCAATGAGCCACCACCATGCTTCACAGTGGGGATGGTATTCTTGTTATAGGCTTTGTTGACCCCTCTCCATACATAGCGCTTATGGCTGTGACCATAAAACTCTATTTTGGTCTCATCACTCCAGATTACAGTGTGCCAGAAGCTGTGAGAGTGTCAAGGTGTTGTCGGGCATAATGCAACCCGGGCTTTTATGTGGCATTGGCGAAGTAAAGGCTTCTTTCTGGCCACTCAACCATGCAGCTCATTTTTGTTCAAGTATCATTGTATTGTGCTCCTTGAAACAATCACACCATCATTTTCCAGAGCATTCTGTATTTATCCTGAGGTTGCCTGTGGCGTTTTCTTTGTATCCTAAACAATTCTTCTGGCAGCTGTGGATTTTTCTTGGCCTAGCTGGCCTTGGCTTGATATCAAGAGATCCCCGAATTTTCCACTGCTTAAGTGATTGATCAGTCCTGACTGGCATATTCAAGGCTCTGGATATATTTTTTATGTCCTTTTCCATCTTTATAATGTTCCATTACCTTGTTACGCAGGTCTTTTGACAGTTCTTTTCTGCTCTCCATCGCTCAGTATCTAGCCTAGTCAGTGCCTCCATGTAAGAGCTAACAAACTCACTTTTATACACTGACACTAATTGAAATGTAAAAAGCCACAGATGTGAAAAATTAACCTTTTAATTGGCATTTTAACCCATGTGTGTCACCTTGTGCGTCTGTACCAAGGTCGAACATTCCAGGGGGCGGAGACTTCTGATTGGAGGCGGAGACTTCTGATCTGGGCCATTTGGGTGATTTCTGTTATCATTGGGCTTTACAAAGGAGCCAAACAACTATGTGATAATAAATGGCTTCATATCATCAAAATCCTTACATTAAAGACAGTTTTTGGCATGATCAGTCAGATTTTCACTATCCGTGCCAAACGTTCACCATTTTTGCCGGGGGTGCAAACTTTTGAGCACAGCTGTATACAATATACAGCTGGTCATATACTGGTAGAATTTCATAAGAATTGTTTTGTTTAATTTTCTAATTCTTAGTGGGGGGTCAAGTCAATGTTCATTTTCAGGCACAGGGAAGAGAAAATTCCAAGGAGCAGGGTGAAAAATTTTTCCTCAAACGATAAATGGTTAGCACTTCCGCCTGGCAGTACAAGGGTCGTTGGTTTGATTCCCAACCACGGCACCACCTGCCTGGAGTTTGCATGTTCTCCCTGTGCCTGCGCGGGTTTCCTCCAGGGACTCCGGTTTCCTCCCACACTCCAAAGACATGCCTGGAGGTGAATTGGCTCCTGTCTAAATTGTCCCCAGTATGTGTATGTATGGATGTGAGTTAGGGACCTTAGATTGTACGCCCCTTGAGGGTTAGGGACTGATGTGAATGTACAATATATATGTAAAGCACTGCGTACATTGATGGCGATATATAAGTACCTGAAATAAATAATGTGGTGTCCCTTTGGGTATTGTCCATTCAGTCCAACATCAAACGTTAGAAGAGAACAACATTTTAAAGCCATTTTGTCAAGTCATCAAATGTACTGAGAATATTCCTACGAACGCTTGTGCAGTGTACGGCCAGTGCTGTAAAGACTAAGCAGGATACAAGTTTCAGTGTACGGAGCTTTAGAGATTCAACTTCTTGAAGAACAAATAAATATATTATTTATAAAAATTTGTTAAAATATAGTATAGCAATGTGTTACTAAACCCTGGACCCTGCATTCACTATATCTGGTCTCCCCGGACCCTGCATTCACTATATCCGCCCTCCCCGGACCCTGCATTCACTATATCTGGTCTCCCCGGACCCTGCATTCACTATATCCACTCTCCCCGGACCCTGCATTCACTATATCCGCCTCCCCGGACCCTGCATTCACTATATCCGCCCCTCCCCGGACCCTGCATTCACTATATCCGCTCTCCCCGGACCCTGCATTCACTATATCCGCTCTCTCCCCGGACCCCATTTCACTATATCCGCTCTCCCCGGACCCTGCATTCACTATATCCGCCCTCCCCGGACCCTGCATTCACTATATCCGCTCCCCCGGACCCTGCATTCACTATATCCTCTCTCCCGGACCCTGCATTCACTATATCCGCTCTCCCCGGACCCCACATTCACTATATCCGCTCTCCCCGGACCCTGCATTCACCATATCCGCTCTCCCCGGACCCTGCATTCACTATATCCGCTCTCCCCGGACCCTGCATTCACTATATCCGCTCACCCCCGGACCCTCGCATTCACTATATCCGCTCTCCCCGGACCCTGCATTCACTATATCCGCTCCTCCCCGGACCCTGCATTCACTATATCCGCTCTCCCCGGACCCTGCATTCACTATATCCGCTCTCCCCGGACCCTGCATTCACTATATCCGGTCTCTCCCGGACCCTGCATTCACTATATCCGTGATCTCTCCGGACCCTGCATTCACTATATCCGCTCTCCCGGACCCTGCATTCACTATATCCGCTCACTCCCCGGACCCTGCATTCACTATATCCGCTCCTCCCCGGACCCTGCATTCACTATATCTGATCTCCCGGACCCTGCATTCACTATATGTGGTCTCCCCGGACCCCTGCATTCACTATATCCGCTCTCCCGGACCCTGCATTCACTATATCTGCTCTCCCCGGACCCCGCATTCACTATATCTGGTCTCCCCGGACCCCTGCATTCACTATATAAGCTCTCCCCGGACCCTGCATTCACTGTTCGATATAGCTCTCCCCGGACCCTGCATTCACTATATAAGCTCTCCCCGGACCCTGCATTCACTATATACGCTCTCCCCCGGACCCTGCATTCACTATATATCGCTCTCCCCCCCGGACCCCGCATTCACTATATCTGGTCTCCCCAGGACCCTGCATTCACTATATCCGCTCTCTCCCCGGACCCTGCATTCACTATATCTGGTCTCCCCGGACCCCGCATTCAGTATATCCGCTCTCCTCGGACCCTGTATTCACTATATCTGGCCCCCCCCCCCGGACCCTGCATTCCTATATCTGGCCCCCCCCGACCCTGCATTCACTACATTACATTATTACATTACATTGAGTTTATATAGCGCCAAAGGGTTTGCTCAGCGCTGTACAATAGAATCTGGTCTCCCGGACCCTGCATTCACTATCTCTGCTCTCCGCTGTACGAATCTGGTTCCCTGCATTCACTATATCTGGTCTCACACAGTGCACAGAACATGGAAATACAAATATCTGAGTAAATATAAACTGCTAAATACCTTTTCTCATCAGCAGTATATTGCAGTCTTGTGACTTTTATCAGTGTCCAGCCGAGCACTGGTTAAAGCTTGTAGGAGGAGTTTTCATTCTGCTGTAGAAGGATGCAGAGCCCCTGACCTCTGTCTGGACAGCGCTGATTGGCCAATCACATACACTCTCCCAAAAAAAAACAAAAAACCTCTTTAGCAATACAAACAAAACTGAGCATGTGCAGTGTCTCCACACGATGTGTCTCATCAGAAGATAAGAGGGGGGCACTGGAAGAAGGGGAGGATCAGAGAAGACAGAGCAAACAGCATTTTTACACAATGCAGAGGATTAACCCCTTAGGTTCCACAGTGAGTATAACAAGCATGCTTTACTGCATCTACAGACTGATTGTACTGTTGTGGGGTTAGTAACACTTTAATGAAAGTGGTGGACATACTGCTGGACAGCAGAGCTCAGAAAAGGGGGATGGAGGAAACACCACAAGGAGCCAATGAGTTGTGCTGCAATGAATGGATCATGCTGATAGGAGGAGAGAGCAGTGACAGAGAGATGAGCTCAGGATGGGGAAAGGGGGTGTGACCACCAGCCTAGGTAACACCCCCATGTGAAGCTGAGCTTCAGTGACTGACAGAACTGAAATCCAATGAATGAAAGGGGCTCGGCCATGGTCAGTCAGACTGGAAAAGAAAGCGCTAGATGATGCTGGACGTCCTCCAACCAGAAAATGAGCCGGGCTCTAATGAGCTTCTAATTAAATCATTTTTCTTTTTATAAGTTTGCCCACCGTTTGCGTCCAGTTCGCACCAGTCCGTAGCATATGCAGAGAATCCTGAATCAGGTCCACTAATTACATGAAGTGTCCTTTACCCCCCCCCCCCCCCACTTCCCTCTCCGAACATTAACAAAAGGTTCTCCCATCACCCATTGTAGCCGACACTGCCGCGCGCTAATTACAGCAATGGGCCGCCGAATCACGATTACATTTCATATTCCACAGACTCTTATCTCCAATTCTCCTTAATGAGCTGTGCAACCAAATCTAAGAACAGCCCCCCCTACAGGGAGAGGCGGGGAGCCACGCCATGGCAGATCACAGCCCCACTCTTCAGACTCGGCGGCACCCTGGGGCTGGTGATACACATGCCAACAATGCTGTTTATCTCTGTGATTCTCCATGTTTGAAATTCAAACATCTATCGGCTCCCGCTGAGGCTTTGATGGCGTCCATGTCTCCTCCCTGTACCATGGCGCAGTACGGCCAGGAAAACATTGCCAGTTACAACAACTCAATCAGTTTAAAATAGAAATGAAAAGGCAAGATATATATTTATATATGTGTGTGTGTATGTATGTATGTGTGTATATATATGTGTGTGTGTGTATGTATGTGTGTGTGTGTTATGTATGTATGTGTGTGTGTGTGTGTGTGTATGTATGTATGTGTGTATGTATGTATGTGTGTGTGTGTGTGTATATATGTATGTGTAACTACTATATATAAAATATATATATAAATATATATAGAGAGAGAGAGAGAGTTTTGGGGGTTTTTTTTTTTTTTTTTTACAGAGTCTGCACAGCTCTAAGGAATGTAATTATAATTCATTATAATTTTTTTTTTTAAATAATTAAATATGTAGGTATGTAGGGGTTTTGTTTAGTTTTTTTGTACAGAGTCTGTAAAAAATTATTTATGCATTTTTTACAATTACAGAGTCTGCACAACTGTAAGGGATGTAATTATAATTATTTTAAATTTATAAAAATAAAAATATGTGTGTATGTATGTGTGTGTATATATATATATATATACTTTTTTTTTTTTTTTACAGTCTGCACAGCTCTAAGGGATGTAATTATAAAATTATAAAAATGTTTGAATTTACATATATATAATACAATCTATATATAATTTTTTGTTTCAATTTATAAAAATGTAAAATTATAAAAATACGCATAGCCATTCACCCAGGGAAGAACATGACCCCCCCCCCACATAGCTCCTGAAATTTAAAAAATTTGTTCACGTTTTTATACAACTGTTAGGGGTGTAATTATATAAAAAAAATCACATAGCTAATCACCCAGTGAAAGTGTATGCACGCTCATTATGTGCAAATTGGCCAAAAAAAAAAAGAATCAAGCTATTTCCCATGCTGGTTGAATGTTGCTCTTGCTCTGATGTTCGCAGCAATACCTCACATGTGTAGTTTGAACACATTTACATACGGCGACGTGGCCTACGTATGCATTCATCACTGTACGCGAGCACGGGGGGGGGGGGGGGGGGGGGGCACTTTGAACATTTTTTTTTTATGTTATTACTTTTCTTTTCTTACACTATTCCTTTAAAAAATGTTTTATTTTAATCACTTTTATTCCTTTCACAAGGAATGCATGCATCCCTTGTGATAGAAATAATTAGAGACAGTTCCTCTTTATGGAGGGATATGGGATCAATAAGACCCCACATCTCTCCTCTGCATTGTAAAGCATTGGATCAAAAAAAGTATTGGTCTAGTGCTTTAAAAAAAATGTTTTATAAAAAGTCCTTGTCCAAGGTGCTGGAACCAAAAGTGACATAATGACGTCACTCTGATCCTCCAAGGGCATAGAGATGAGTGGAGGCCATCTTTCCTTCTGATCTCTATGCCCAGCGTCGGGATCGTTGGATGGGTTCTCGGGAAGGCTGAGAACCACTAGGCCAAACTGTTTCGGCCACCAAAATTTTTGGTGCCTCCCTAGTCCCTTTAACCACTTGACAAACCGGGCTATAGCCGAAATGATGGCTACAGTGTGGTTGTCCAGTCCTGGGAGGGCGTCATATGACATCCTCCTAGAACGCGCCATCCTGTGCGCCCGGCGATCTCCGTGATTGTTATGTCCTATGGACACAGCTGATCACGTGATGTGGTAAAACGCCAATCACAGCGGCCTTTTACCACGTGATCAGCTGTGTCCAATGACAAATCACCGGGTAAATACAGTTGCCGGTTATCGGCTGCACTTTCCTCACGCTGTCACAGTAAGAGGAAAGTACTGCCGATAACCGGTAATTGTCAGAGAATGGATCGGCACCGAACATCAGTGCACTGATGATTAGTGCCGCCCATCAGTGCCACCCATCAGTGCTGCCCATCATTGCCCATCAGTGCTGCCTATCAGTGCCCATCTGTGCTGCCTATCCTTGCCTATCAGTGCCCATCAGTGCTGCCTATCATTGCCTATCAGTGCCCCATCAGTGCTGCCCAATCATTGCCTATCAGTGCCCATTCAGTGGGCCTATCAGTGCCCAGCCCTCATCAACGCACATCAGTGAAGGAGAAAAATTAACTGTTTGCAAAATTTTATAATAGAAACAAAGAAAAACTATCAGTGCCCTTCATTGTTGCATATCAGTGCCAGCTCATCATTGCCCATCAGTGCTGCCTATCAGTGCCCATCAGGGCTGCCTATCATTGCCCATCAGCGCTGCCTATCAGTGCCCATCAGCGCTGCCTATCAGTGCCCATCAGTGCCGCCTATCAGTGCCCATCAGTGCTGCCTATCAGTGCAGCCTCATCAACGCACATCAGTGAAGGAGAAAAATTAACTGTTGCAAAATTTTATAATAAAACAAAGAAAACCTTTTTTTTTTTTTTTTCAATTTTTTTGCTATTTTTTTTGTTTATAGAGCAAAAAATAAAACCCCCAGCGACGAGTAAATACCACCAAAAGAAAGCTCTATTTGTGTGAAAAAAAATTATAAAAATGTCATATGAGTGCAGTGTCGCATGACCGCGCAATTGTCCTTCAAAATGTGAGAGTGCTGAAAGCTGGCCTGGGCAGGAAGGAGGTATAAGTGCCCGGTAGGCGAGGGGGTTAATAAAAGAAGCCATACAGCGTGCCACATACACATCACCCTGTGTGTGAGTTCACCATCAATGCTGGTGCCAGCGGAGTTCCCCTTTAACCTGTTCTGTTCTTCACTATATGTACCAGTTTAAAGGAGCAGTCCCACCTTAGAGTGTATAACTGGATTGTCAGTTCAGGGTGGAGCCGCCATTTTGGAATTCTCCCTCCACCTTGCTGTAATGACCTTCATGGATGGCAGCAGACTGCGCCCCGGTTCTTTCGGATTTCATCTGTTGAATGAGGAAGGAGCGGAGACCCCGGAACGTCATCTACAGACTAGACATGCAGTCCGCTTTGTTCCCAATCGAAATGCGGACACAATCTTCCGTTATTTGGAGATTCAGATATATCCCAATTCCATATTACAATAGTAACTAATTTAAAACGAACCTGAAATACCACAACGAAATTCGTCCAGAATTTGAATCGATTCGAATTCGAAAACACAGTTGAAAACAAAATTCAAAAACCAAGAATAGAATAAAATATAACAAAACAAAAGTGGCGGCACGTCGGAGCTGAGCGCAGAGCTACACCAAGGGCAGCGCAGGAGACGACCGGACACCTCGTCACCTGATCTACTGTAGGGAGCAAACCTCAAACTCATCATTCTACAATGGAGCTCATACTATTCCCCTCCAGCCCGTGCCCCTCCCCCGACTTCTCCATCAAGATCAATACTAGAACCATCAGTCCCTCCCCTCATGTCAGGGTACTAGGTGTAATCATGGACTCCCATCTGTCCTTTCAGCCCCAAATTCAATCACTGTCCAAATCTTGTAGACTTCACCTCCGCAACATCTCCAACCTCCGCAACATCTCCAACCTCCGCACCTTCTCCAACCTCTGCAACTTCTCCAAATTCCACCACATCTCCAACCTCCGCACCATCTCCAACTTCCGCACCATCTCCAAACTCCGCCACATCTCCACCCCTCCGCACCATCTCCCAACCTCCGCCACATCTCCGACCTCCGCCACATCTCCGACCATCTCCTCACCATCTCCAACCTGCGCCACATCTCCAACCTGCGCCACATCTCCAACCTGCGCAACTTCTCCAACCTGCGCAACTTCTCCAACCTCCGCAACTTCTCCAACCTCCGCCACATCTCCAACCTCCGCCACATCTCCAACCTCCGCAACATCTCCAAGATACGCCCGTTCTTAACCCTGGAAACCACTAAGCAACTTATTCACTCCCTTGTTATATCTCGCCTTGACTATTGTAACTCCCTCCTCATTGGCCGACCTCATCGCAGGCTATCTCCTCTTCAGTCTATCATGAATGCTGCTGCCAGACTCATCCACCTTACTAACCGCTCTGTATCTGCCACCCCTCTCTGCCAATCCCCACACTGGCTTCCATTCAGTGTCCTCCACCCCTCTCTGCCAATCCCTCCACTGGCCTCCATTCCGTGTCCTCCACCCCTCTTCTGCCAATCCCTCCAATGACCTCTATTCAGTGTCCTCCACCCCTCTCTGCCAATCCCTCCACTGACCTCTATTCAGTGTCCTCCACCCCTCTCTGCCAATCCCTCCACTGGCCTCCATTCCGTGTCCTCCACCCCTCTCTGCCAATCCCCCTCCAATGACCTCTATTCAGTGTCCTCCACCCCCTCTCTGCCAATCCCTCCACTGACCTCTATTCAGTGTCCTCCACCCCTCTCTGCCAATCCCTCCACTGGCCTCCATTCCGTGTCCTCCACCCCTCTCTGCCAATCCCTCCACTGACCTCTATTCAGTGTCCTACACCCCCTCTCTGCCAATCCCTCCACTGGCTTCCCCATTTCCCAACGAATAAAATTCAAACCATTAACAATAACATATAAAGCCATTTATAACTCTGCCCCAAATTACATCACCAATCTTGTCTCCAAATATCACCCAAACCATACTCTCCGCTCCTCGCATGACTTCCTGCTCTCTATCTCCCTTGTCTCTTCCTCCCATGCTCATCTCCAGGACTTCTCCAGTGCCTCCCCCATCCTCTAGAACTCTCTACCCCAATTTATCAGACTATCGCCTACTCTGCTCACGTTTAGGCGATCTCTGCAAACATCTCTCTTCAAGGGAAGCCTATCCTGCCCTCAGTTAATACTGGAATCTTCTACTCTTCCTACCAGTCCATCCCCCACAGTTACTACCTCTTGTACCACTAGCCCCTCCCTCTTAGACTGTAAGCTCCAAGGATCAGGGCCCTCCTATCCCTCTTGTATTGAACTGTATTGTTGCTGTATTGTCTCCCATTATATTGTAAAGTGCTGAGCAAACTGTTGGCGCCATATAAATCCTGTATAAATAATAAATAATAATAATAAAGCACAACTCCGGTTTACACTAAATATCTCCAGTACAGAGCTGTCATCTGATATATCTTCTAATGCTGAGTAATGTGTCGGTGTAACACGTCCAGGTGTTTATTACCTCTCACAGAGATCACAGTACTCCACCCTGCATTTCCTTTGAGGTTGTCTGTGGGGTTTTCTTTGAATCCAAGACAATTCTTCTGTCAGTTGTGGCTGCAATCTTTCTTGGTCTACCTGACCTTGGCTTGGTATCAAGAGATCCCCGAACTTTCCACTTCTTAATAGGTGATGTAACAGTACTGATTGGCATATTCAAGGCTTTGGACATCTTTTTATGTCCTTTTCCATCTTTATAAAGTTCCATTACCTTGTTACGCAGGACTTTTTACAGTTCTTTTCTGCTCCCCATGGCTCAGTATCTAGCCTAGTCAGTGCTTCCATGTAAGAGCTAACAAACTCATTGACTATTTATACACTGACACTAATTGCAATTTAAAAGGCCACAGATGTGGGACATTAACCTCTAATTGGCATTGTAACCCGTGTGTGTCACCTTGTGTGTCTGTACCAAGGCTGAACATTCCAGGGGGCGGAGACTTCTGATAAGGGGGCAGGGACTTCTGATCTGGGGGCGGAGACTTCTGTTCCGAGCCATTTGGGTGATTTCTGTTATCATTAGGATTTAAAAAAGAGCCAAACAACTCTGTGATAATAAATGGCTTCATCCTTCAATAAAAGAGTATTTTTTGGCATGATCAGTCATATTTTCAATATCAATGCCAAAATTTCACAACTTCTGCCGGGGGAGGGAAACTTTTGAGCACAACTGTGTGTATATACACATACATATATGTATATGTGTATATATGTATATGTTGTGTGTGTGTGTGTGTGTATGTGTATATATATGTATGTGTGTGTGTATGTGTATGTGTATATATATATATGTATATATATTAATATATATATATTATATATATATATATAATATATATATATATATATATATGTGTGTGTGTGTGTGTGTTGTGTGTGTGTGTGTGTGTTTGTGTGTGTGTGTACTATATATATGTGTGTGTGTGTGTGTGTATATATATGTTGTGGTGTGTGTATAAATATAATGTGTTTAGTGTGTGTGTATATTATATATATATATGTGGGGCAAAAAAGTATTTAGTCAGCCACCAGATTGTCCAACTTCTACCCACTTACAAAGATGAGAGAGGCCTGTAATTGGCATCATGGGTAGACCTCAAATTATGAGAGACAAAATGAGAAAACAAATCCAGACAATCACATTGGCTGATTTGGAAAGAATTTATTTGCAAATTATGGTGGAAAATAAGTATTTGGTCACCTACAAACAAGCAAGATTTCTGGCTCTCACAGACCTGTACCTTCTTCTTTAAGAGGCTCCTCTGTCCTGCACTCATTACCTGTATCAATGGCACCTGTTTGAACTTGTTATCAGTATAAAAGACACCTGTCCACAACCTCAAACAGTCACACTCCAAACTCCACTATGGTGAAGACCAAATAGCTGTCGAAGGACACCAGAAACAAAATTGTAGACCTGCACCAGGCTGGGAAGACTGAATCTGCAATAGGCAAGAAGCTTGGTGTGAACAAATCAACTGTGGGAGCAATAATTAGAAAATGGAAGACATACAAGACCACTGATAATCTCCCTCGATCTGGGGCTCCACGCAAGATCTCACCCCGTGGGGTCAAAATGATCACAAGAACAGTGAGCAAAAATCCCAGGACCACACGGGGGGACCTAGTGAATGACCTGCAGAGAGCTGGGACCAACGTAACAAAGGCTACCATCAGTAACACACTACGCCGCCAGGAACTCAGATCCTGAAGTGCCAAACGTGTCCCCCTGCTTAAGCCAGTACATGTCCGGGCCCATCTGAAGTTTGCTAGAGAGCATTTGGATGATCCAGAAGAGGATTGGGAGAATGTCATATGGTCAGATGAAAGCAAAATAGAACTGTTTGGTAGAAACACAACTCGTCCTGTTTGGTGGAGAGAGAATGCTGAGTTGCATCCAAAGAACACCATACCTACTGTGAAGCATGGGGGGTGGCAACATCATGCTTTGGGGCTGTTTCTCTGCAAAGGGACCAGGCCGACTGATCCATGTACAGAACAGAATGAATGGGGCCATGGATCGTGAGAGTGCAAACCTCCTTCCATCAGCAAGGGCATTGAAGATGAAACGTGGCTGGGTCTTCCAACATGACAATGATCCCAAACATACCGCCCGGGCAACGAAGGAGTGGCTTCGTAAGAAGCATTTCAAGGTCCTGGAGTGGCCTAGCCAGTCTCCAGATCTCAACCCCATAGAAAACCTTTGGAGGGAGTTGAAAGTCCGTGTTGCCCAGCGACAGCCCCAAAACATCACTGCTCTAGAAGAGATCTGCATGGAGGAATGGGCCAACATACCAGCAAACAGTGTGTGCCAACCTTGTGAAGACTTCCAGGAAACGTCTGACCTCTGTCATTGCCAACAAAGGATATATAACAAAGTATTGACATGAACTTTTGATATTCACCAAATACTTATTTTCCACCATGAATTTGCAAATAAATTCTTTCCAAATCAGCCAATGTGATTGTCTGGATTTTGTTTCTCATTTTGTCTCTCATAGTTGAGGTCTACCTATGATGCCAATTACAGGCCTCTCTCATCTTTTTAAGTGGGAGAACTTGTACAATTGGTGGTTGACTAAATACTTTTTTGCCCCACTGTATGTGTGTGTGTATATATGTATGTTCTAAATGGATTCCCAATCAGCACTGTCTTCCTAATAAGAGCACTCTCCTCCTCTATAGCCGATTGAGTACCACCCTTACTGTCCAGGCCATATCAATTTTCCGTTTTCAGCACTGTGATAGTTTGACTGACAAGTACACATAGAACACTGCACCCAAAAGGGGCTGTATATAATTTAAAAAAAAAACAAATATATAGAGCTTCCTATAGGTGGTAAAAAAAAATCCCCAAATTATTGGTGGTTAGTGACACTTTAAAAACCTCCCCCCCCCCCCCCCCTCACAAACTGCCAACATTAAAAAATTATGACATCATCCTTGGTGGTCAGTGGCACTTTAAAACCCCCATATTAAGTAGCAATCCCATCATTATTTGTGGTTAGTGGCATTTTACCCCCCCCCCCCCCCCAAAAGAAAAATCCCAAATGCATGGTAATAAGTGTCTCTTTGATCAGCCCCCTCCTCCCGTCCCTTCCCTCCCCACACACACACCTACCTTCACATCTGATCCTTCCTGATGATCATATCATCATTGGTGGTTGGTAGCACTTTAACCACTTCCAGTCCGGACACTTTCACCCCCTTCCTGTCCAGGCCAATTTTCAGCTTTCAGCGCTATCACACTTTGAATGACAATTGCGCGGTCATGCAACACTGTACCCATATGAATTTTTTACCAGAGATTTTTATTGAGACAGATAAAACTTTATTTTGGTGGTATTTATTCACCGCTGGGATTTTTATTTTTTTTACTATGTAAATGAAAATGTCCAAAAATTTTGAAAAAAAGTGTTTTTCTTATAAAATTTTGCAAATAAAAATAATATTTCATCATAAATCTTGGCCAAAATGTATTCCGTTTATATTTTTAGTAAAAAAAAAAAATAAGCCAAATTAGTTTATACCCAAAAATTATAAATTTTAAACATCTTTATTAACATTTTTATTTTTTTACTATATTATTTATTTATTTATTTTTTTTACATACTGTCACCCTAGCAGTACAGTGTCACCATGGTGCCACTGTACTACTGTTGGGGGGCGATGATTTTTTTTTTTTTACACTGATTGCTTTTACACCCATATAGGATGTAAAAGCAATCATTTTTCTTTCTCTCTGTCTGCATTCTTGCAGCCATTGAGAACTACTGAGTGAGCTGTGATTGGTCACATCTTGTCACATGGTACAAGGCTGTTGTGAATAGCCTTGTATCATGTGACCTCTGTGATCATTCACAGATTTCACACGTAGTAAGCAATGATGTCAGAAGTGACATCTTGCTTACTACTTTGCATGTGATCACTGATTGGTCAACCAGTGATCACATGATTGGGACCTCACACCGACGTTCGGTGTTTCACTGTATCCGGAGAACACAACGGGCACCGGATCGCGGTGCGCGCGCTTCCAGGGAGCACGCACAAGCAGGGTGTGGGGAGGCGGTTTATAAACGGCCACCCGACCCTGCAGTGCCACCGTCCGGCCGTTTTATATACAACGGCGGGTCGGGAAGTGGTTAAGACCCCCTCACATTCACCTGTGATCGTTCCTGCTGTGTTTGCAAACATTGAGCCTCTTCACAACCGAAGAAGGGGAGCTGCCATCCCTTTGTGAATGGGCTGAATATTTGTAAACACTACTGTTGTTTACACT